ACAAGGCTCTCTGTGGAAATTTTTGAAAGCCGGGGTGCTTTGTAGGAATTTTTCAAAACTAGGGGCTCCTTCCAGGAATTCGCCACGAAAGATTCACACAGAACAAAAAAAAATCAAAAATATAATATATCCACATGCCAGAACTATTCTTCCAAAAGCTGATTTGTATCTAGTAGAAATCTAACATTGTGTTTTCCCTTGGTAAATCTTGACATCAAGTATTGTACATTTTAATCTTAAATTCACTCTACAATGGATTATTACATCATTAATCATGTTCCAATAAATTTGTTTGACCATCTACATTCACATCACTAGGACCAATTATGGGAAAGGTAGTAACTGGTTGTGTTATGAAACAACAAAATATCATGTTTAATCTTTATACACCCTAATAAAAAAGGAACAGCATGCTGTAACAAAATCCTGCCTCTGAAATTTATAAACATATTACATACAACTACATCTTGTGCTCCATCTTAAAGTTAATTTCAGCCATCTAGTTCTCTCCAATGACAAAACTATCAAACATATCCAATTTCAATGACCAATTTGCATATAATTCCCTTGTTCCTTTGGGGGAAAAAAAAAGACCCGGGGCCGGCATGGCCAACGACAAAGGTAACCAGCAACAAGAGTGACCTGGGGTAAAATCATCATTTATGAAAATAAGGCTCTCTATGGGAACTTTCGAAAGTTGGGGTGCTCTGTAGGAATTTTTTCAAAACTAGGGGCTCTTTCTAGGAATTCGCCAAAAAAGATTCGCATAGAACAAAAAAAATAAAATATATAATATATCCACATGCCAGAACTATTCTTCCAAAAGCTGGTTTGAATCGAGTAGAAATCTAACATTGTGTTTTCCCTTGGTAAATCTTGACATCAAGTATTGCACATTTTAATCTTAAATTCACTCTACAATGGATTATTACATCATTAATCATGTTCCAATAAATTTGTTTGACCATCTACATTCACATCACTAGGACCAATTATAGGAAAGATAGTAACTGGTTGTGTTATGAAACAACAAAATACCATATTTAATCATTATACACCCTAATAAAAAAGGAACAGCATGCTGTAACAAAATCCTGCCTCTGAAATTTATAAACATATTATATACAACTACATCTTGTGCTCCATCTTAAAGTTAATTTCAGCCATCTAGTTCTCTCCAACGACAAAACAATATCAAAAACATCCAATGTCAATGACAAATTTGCATATAATTCCTTTGTTCCTTTTGGGGAAATAAAAAGACTTTCAGGTCCATTTCATCACTTGCAATCTTGCAAATTTGCCTCCTTTCCTCACAATGATACATGAAGTCATTCTTATGGCTCAAGAAATGAATTAATCAAAATATTTGACGGCAATGAATGTTCAGTTAACTATATAGAAGAGTTACGTATTCTCTAACTTGTGTTTTACATTATGACTTAAGAACATTGATGACTGTTCATCATACAATGAAATTTGAACAAAGACAAACCGAACATAGATACGATATACGACTTCAAACTCAACTTAAAATTTGTTGTGATTCTAAAAATTATCCTATGTAGGTAAAGATAAATGGAATAGAGTAGACAAGTAAATTGTAAGCAGGACATGGCATCATTTTTCTCTCGTTAAAGCCAAATTGCAGGAACATAAGAATCTAGATGAACCCTTTATACAGGGAAACAGCTAATAGTACTAGCTGCAAAGCCAGAAACCATGGCCATCCTCACCTGCAAAGTAAAAAAGATCTATCCTAATCTACAGCAATATGCATACCCTCCCAATGTTCTCTACAACGTATACCTCTGCAAAAATTGGAAGACAAAGCCCTACTAAAAATCGAGGAGACCGCAGACTTCCCACCGCAAAATCAAGCAAATGCAGTTCAATCTGCTTCAGAAAAAGAAGCCCTAAATTCTCGAACCCCAAGATCCAACGAATCCCACAAAGCCTGATCCAGATCACGAACACGCGTCTCATCTCACAGGATGCACCTAAACGACCAGAAGGCAACCGGCCAGCACAAGACCGAGAAAGGACACCGAGAAAAAGGACCTCACCGTGAAGGCTGTCGGGGTCGTCAGTGACGAACCCGGACCGTCGGCTGCGGAAAGGAGGGAACCAGAAGATGGCAGAGAGCAGCACGCAAGAGCCGAGGGCCAGAACGACGAGGCACCTCAGAGAGACGGCCCGGCGGATCCCGGCGTCTCCTCCGCGACCGCCCCCTCCTCCGGCCGCGGAGTTGGCGAGGACTCGATCGGGGACCTCGACGCGGACTTCCTCCGGCTTCCCCATTTATCGGGGCATCGGAAACCGCCTCCCCAAACGGATTGGAGGAGAGCAATGCGAGCAGTTGTAGTAACACAGTCAGTTGAAGAAGAAAGGAGACGTGGGAGAGGCCGACGAATTTGGAGACGAAGAGGAGGAAGCAGCGACTCCGCTCCCTCTTAGTCTTTTGGGAGGGAATGGAATGTTCTCGGCATCATTATTTTCTTTAAATAATTATATTATTTGATAAAATCCTATATATATATATTATTTATCTCTCTAATTTTTTTAAATCAAAAACCTACAAAATATACTCTTATTGATAATTAATTACTATTCGATTACTACTTGACATGAATTTTCTCTAAAAACATATAATATGCTGACTTTAAATATATATATACTATTATGGTTAATTTATTTTTCATTTGACTATTACTTCAAATTCTATATGACATTAATACCCTTTAGAAATTTAAATGCATATAAATAAATATACAGAAACACCGAAAGGTAAACAGATGGATTGCACTCCATTTAGATCATGACAAATTGGCCCCACTCGCTCCTTGTGAGGGTTGACATTTGGGTTGCAATGCCAAATTGGAACCCATTCTTCCGTAGACAATAAGTAAGAATAATAAAAGATATCATGATCATTAATACTACTTTATTTTTTTTGTATATATAATGTTTCTTTCCCCAAATCATGGTCTTATTAATACAGTCTAAGTAGCTCTCAATGTACATACTCCCACTGCCACTGGTTGCATAAGTTGCTGGTTTTATCTTCTCAACAAGGTTTTAAAAGAAATTAAAATTTTATATGCAAGGATCAAAATGAATTAATTATCCTATGAAGTATTTTCGATTTATTGGACTTGGTTCTAAAGCTTGAATTATTCCTCACTTGCATCAACTTCGATGTTCACCCATAAAAGGAGACTTTAGCATCTATCTGTGCATAGCTTTAAATCCAAGCATTTTTATACATAATGCTTGTCATGTTCTTGAGAGGGATTGGATCTTTTATTAATGGATAGATTAGATTATTGCCATCAACACTTAATGATAAAGAAGAAACATTAATGAAAATTGATATGATTCATCCAAGAAGAATATGGAATCAATTCCAAGCTCTTTGAGCAAATATTAAAATTAGAGTAGAATAATTTTTTGGTGTTCATGATTATAATTTGATCAACCATCAATGTGATCCACTATATTTCGTCAAAAATAAATAAAAAGTAGACCACATTTTCCAATCACTAACCTCTCTCTCTCTCTCTCTCTCTCTCTCTCTCTCTCTCTAACCACATTTTCCAATCAATAAAAAGTAGACCACATAAATATGAAAATATGTATGCATATTTGCATACAAATTTGCATGGTTTATTTACATCAATTAACTATTATTTAATCATTAAATCGTTTTAATCAGAACTCAGTACGACAATAAAAATATGAGAAATAATGCGAGTATTTTACATATCCATTTAATACAAACCAATTAAAAGTAACTATAGTTAAATGTGATTAATTAGAACGAAAGGGACATATATGAAGGACATGAATGCAAGAATAAATATGTGATTCCCCTAAGTAATTAACATGAGTGTCACCATTGATGGCACTCGCATACCAAGCATGAAATAACACTGCAACCAATGAACCAACATGCATGGCATGGGACAGGACAAGGAGAGATGTTACCATTCATGTCATTGTTGATGCCTCTGACACACCAAACATGAAGTCATACACTAACAGATGAATTTTCTGCTTGCAAATAAGAGAGTTGGATTCCAACTCAATTAGTAATCTTTTGAGACAAAAGGTTGATCAATGTATACAATACATGTATTTATGATTTGAGCACTGGTAATATAAATTGTAAAAGAGCAATGTCACTGTAGATCAATTCATACACTACAAATATGGCATTAAACATATAGAATCTGACATGTAAATAATGTATTTCTTAAAAAAATAAGGATATCATTATTACACAACTCTAATAAATGGAGCATTTACTTTGAACAAAATGAGGGAAAAGAAAGAGAATTTATGGATAGGTTGAACTGGATAGGAAACTTACACAACCATCAGAGCATAGTGTTGTTGAGCAATGCTTGTCTCCAACTTCTTGTAGGTAAGAACTTTGGTTGTAATTAATCATTGTTCATGCACCAAGACTGACATATGCCCACCTAGTTGGAAAACTTCTAGACTCACATTTCTCTCCTAACCTAAAACCATTGAAGCTTTGTCAATTAAGAATCTAAAATCCTCAAGCTGAAAGCTGGACAAAATTTCTGGTGTTCACTTGATGCATATTGACATAATTTGTGGATATTGAAAGTCTAGGACTATTGGATAAATGATATCAGAAAGTCCAGATAACTCCCAGTTCTGTTTCTGTTCTCAAACCATGTTTTCCATCAACTGATCTTATAACATATATCAGCAATCTTATCCTGATTTCCAGAACAAAATTCCATTTATGACTGGACCATTTAGAGATAAAGGTCCCACTAACCCTTTTTTTTCCTTAAAAGAAATCCATACATATGTGTATATAAATAATATATGTTGGGAAGATACCAACCATGCAACTACTTGGAAGGTCCCACCTACCTGTAAAAACCAACCACCACCCATTTTTTTTGTTTTTGTCTGAGTAACATCTTTGCACCATTTCATTCTCAGAAGCTTTGCTTCTCTTATTGGCTTTAGATCTCCAGCCAAGATTTCATCTTGTAGAGAAATATCACCTGCAAAATTGTCTCATCTAATCAATATCTACCCTGCTCTTTAGTCTGGCAACTACAAAGAAAAAAAATCACACTCACCAAACAAGCAAGTAGTTGTCGACCATCTCCAACTCTGAAGTTTGTAGGCGATGAAGTCAAATTCAATCAGCTAGCAACAATAGATGAAAGCAACCTTAACAATTTGGGTTAGTAGTCATTGTTCTGCAGCTTATAGTCTATACCTCAGAAATGCAGGTTCATCTTTGAGCAACATTTCTGTTGGTAAATCTCTGACATTGCATTTGCTTACTGTTGTGATCTTAAATGTCCTGAAACTTTTGAAGTACTGTGTAGCAGAATATGAACAAATTTTATAGAGAAGACAATAGTGGAGATGGCTAACTATCCAAGAAGCCCATTGAAAATATCTCTCTCTCTCTTATCTGTTTGTCTGTCTATCGATCTCTGGCATTTACAATCTCATATATGCTGATTCGGATTGCTCTAGATGATAATAACTGGAGATGTTCATAATATGTCTAATATAGATTTTAGTTACTGGTTAAATTACGTAGAATATGCTGCATAATGTAGAAGACTTGAATTAATCTTCTTGGTTTTATTTATGTTCAGTTGCTGATATAGCTGAAACCAGCATTTGTGACACCAATAGAAAATAAACATAGTTTTACTATCCTCACAGTCATACTTAGCTGTGCATTTAGTTCAGGTTTAACGAGGGTTAAATCGAAGGACACTAATAATGTCAAGAAGGAACTGAACCCAGATAATCAGGACTAAATTAACCCACTTAATATAGTGAACTAAAATAACAATCTCTTTTCTCATTCTCTTTGCTAATTCAGACAACTCTATTAGCTAGCTGCATCGAACCAAATAAAGAATAATTAAATTTAGTCAATCAGGCCAGAGTAATTTAATCATGCTTATCAGGCTAGAGTTATTTAGTCATGTTAGCAAATCCAATTTAAATTGTCCTCATCCACCATTGACCTAAGAGGTCAATACATTGCAGGTGAGATTAACTTTAGATGGAAATATGAAGTAGCCAATTTCTGACAGCTAAAACTAATGGTTGCCAACTTATCTCTGAGATACACATTTCAATATTATTATCATTTCATTATTCACCCAAACAAATTAGAAGCATCAAATATAAACATAATAGTCAACATATGTGAATCTGTCACAAGATAGATTATAGATAGTTCAATACTATTTTAGTTTAATTATTTTCATGAAAGCACCGTATATAACCATAATGGTCGATATATGTGAGCCTATCAAATCTGGTTAGGTAGCAAAGGAAGAATATTTTACCTTCATTATATGATAACCAGAGTGGCATGTATTGATATCAATTGTTAACATGTGACTAATCGAATTACAAGAAAGTTTCAAATGATGTTTGGCATTGTTCTTACATATATTTCGAAAAAGGAAATATTACAATTTTTTTTCCTATTTTATTATATAACATCTAATTGGCATGTAATGATATCAATCGAAAGATCGCAAACTCACTGCAAAAAGAGTTTTAGATTAAGTAGATGAATAGTTGATGATGTTTAAATATTGTCACGAGAGTCACGACAGCATTAAGATCCAATAGTATTAATTTACTAGTCATTTAAGTACCCTGGTGTATATTATTTGTTGATTATATTATCTTAGTTGATAAGAGTTTAAATGAAATTAATTCAAAACTTAAGTTATGAAGACAATCTTTAAAAGCTTGATATTTAGGTTCAGAAGGATTAAAATTAAATATATAATATGAAATTTTAGTAATAACAATAAAAGAGAGGAGAATATAGTGAAGTTGGATGAGCATGAAGTTTTATTACGTAAAAGTTTTTAGTATCTTGAATCTGGAGAGATTAATGAAAATATTATTTATAAAGTAAAAACATGATGGTTACAATGGTGGACATTAGGAATCTTGTGCAACCATTGGGTATCTTTGAGATTGAAAGAAAAATTTTATAAGACTATTATTAGCTCAACAATACTTTATAGTTTTGAATGCATCTAAGAAGCAACATATACAAAATGTTTATATTACTAAGATGAAAATATTGACGTGGATGTGCAGAGTAATTATGAAAGATAGAAAAGAAACTTTTTCATTCGTAAATAATCAGGTGTTGCTTCAACAAAGGATAAAATGAAAGAGAATCGTTTCAGATGGTACGAACATATGATCCAGAGATCTATAGATGCTATAGTTAAAAGAGGTGAAATTATTAATATTAGTGGCATGAGGGAAGATAGAGAAAAACCGAAATTTTTTTTAATAAAAACTATAAATACTAATTTAAATACTAATTTTAGTCTTTATGATCTCAATGACAATAAAAGATCCATATAGGCAAATAGTTTGGAATTTACAGTTTTATTATTGTCGTCTCAGAGGCAATCGATTGTAAGAATGTCCTGATAGAATATAAATGCAGGAGGTATGCATTTAGAAGCATTTAAACAGACCCTTGAAAAGATCCATAAACAATTAATTGCTACATAAACCCAAACTAGACAAGTAGACCTTAAAAGATCTGCAAAGTAAAACAGATACTTGTCATTAATAAATACTGCAGTAACTTAATAATTCACACAATACTTCGCTAGAACACACTAGCTAGAACACTATGATCAACATGAGTGACTAAGCAGCACTTACAACAATGTTCTAAGTTCTAACTAAACTAAAGAAGAACTATGCAATACGTTAAAGGTAATTAACCTGAAATATAAGCTACTACACTTATCCCTAGTTAGAACACTATGATCAACATGAGTGACCAAAAGAAGTAGCACTTACAACAATATTCTAAGCTCTAACTAAGCTAAAAGAGAACTATGCAATATGTTAGAAGGTAATCAACCTGAAATGTAAGCTACAGTCCTCAGCTCTTGTGGGCATCCATCAGAAGCTCAGATATCTCCTTCAACAAATCGAGGCGCTTCGCCCACAACTCCATCTCGGCCTCGCACTGCTTCCTCAATTTCTCCTCCAGCAACTTCCCCTTGGAATCATCGATTAGCTTCAGTTTCTTCTCCAAGAGCACGCCCGACAAGCACCGCCCGTACTCCGCCACGGCTTCCCTGATGAACGGATACTTATCATCCTCCCTTCCCGCATCATCATCCTCCTCGGTGGCAGCGGGGGCCACGTCCCCGTTTCCGTCCTCCTCGGCGTCCCCATCGGCCTGCTTGGCCTCCTCGCCCCATATCTCGGCGGACAGCTCGCAGATGCGCCGGTCGTGGGCGGTGACAACGGCGGAGGAACCAGCGGCGGAAGAGTGGACGAACTTGCTCTTGAGGCGCTTGAGCTTGTAACCGACCTGCTCGGGGGTGAGGTGGGTGGCGATGGAGGTCTTGATGGAAGCGAAAAAGGCGGACATGGTGGGCTGCTTGGGAAGGGCGCCGGTACGGGAGCGAAAGGCAAGGGCGCCTTCGAGGAGCGCGACCTCGTCGGGCTCCGACCACACCTTCATCTGCCGGAGGCCGGAGGGGCTCCGCCCGCCAAACTCGCGGGGCTTCCTCTTCCGCCCGCTCCGCCTGGACATGGCCGCCGCGGCGGAGGCCGGCTCGTCGGGTCCCGGGATGGGCTTCGAGGAGGAAGGATTCAGGGGGGCCGAGCAGCCACCGGGGCCGCCGTTGGTCGACGGTGAGTCCTCCGTGGTTGACGGTCGCGGATCGGGCGGAGGAGGAGCGAGAGAATTTGGGGGCGTCAAGGTAGGCATTCGGAGCGCTCGTGACACATCCCAAACAGGTCACGACCGTCAAATAATCCAAACGGGTCAGGCTAAATGTCGAGTGTTGAGTCTGGTCCGTGTTTGGTTCGTCCGTTCCGGTAGAAACCAACGATCACGAAACTCATACTCTTCTCGCATTTATCGCTGTGTCCAACGTGGACGGTGGGACCCCTTTTTTTGAGTGGGTGAAAAGTGAGCTCCCTGTTTGATTTCATACACCAGAAAAAAAGAAAGAACAGTTCGCCCACCGTGGGGCTCGAACCCACGACCACAAGGTTAAGAGCCTTGCGCTCTACCTACTGAGCTAGACGGGCTTATGACATTTGGTCAAAAATAATATATATATAGCATATACAAAGGTAATAATACTAAGAGAAAAAATTAGTAGAATATGTGATATAATTCACATAGTTCAATATAAAAAATGGTAATGAATATAAAATTAATATAATTTTTTTTCTTCTGATCGAAAGGATCGAATGATACAGTGGCAAATGAATTCAAAGCAAATTTTAAGGCACTTCCATTTAAGAAAGAGAAATAAGTAAGATTGTTTATCGATCGATAATTGGTTAATAATTTATTGATAAATATTTTAAAAGAATGCCATTAGAATCAGTATTTAATTTGCTATATGATTATGAAAATGATTTAGTTAGTCCTGAGCTATCAAACGAAACAATAATATAATAATCATCTATCAAATGAAGTCGAGGCACTCAAGTTTATGGAAGAACAGGTCGTAAATAGTTATAATTTTCTAATAATTTGATTCGAATAAGAGAAATATGGAAAGCAAGTAACTTTATTATCATTGAAAGTATGAGAGTATTTTTACCTCTCAACTTAAATGAATTTATAAGTTATTGATGCTTTTAGATCTAGAGATGATATCTTGGCATGGAGCATATTTTTCATAGATTAATTGTTAGTCATATTACACTAAAATTCTCCTAAGAATAACAATATATCATATCAAAAAAATGATCATTCATTTGATCGATTCGATTCACCGATTAGAATCTTATACCATTAAATTCTTATTTATTAAAAAAAATTAAGCAATTTACCAGCAACAACTAATTCTAATATGGCATCCCTATGTTCAGGTTTTGTCGAGGGGTATATGAGCAATTCAGATTGGGTCACTTTTATCAGGTCAGACTCCATTCAATTTGTTAAAGAATATAACTCAAGTATAACCAAACTATTTAGTATCTTTTTCATCAAACGAGTTCAAAATTATTTGGCAACTATATAATACTATTCAAAATTCTTTAGAACTATGGTATATCATTTCATTATTTTTTTTATTTTTTATAATTTTAGGATGAATAAATTTTTTAAGATGATATTTTTAGGTTAAATCGATTATCAATGTAACTAATTGAATTTTCATCAAATCTATCTAAACGTTTCTCGGTGAGATAATAATATATTTAGTTTTTATTTTTATTTTTATGAATTTAGAGTGATTAATTTTTTAAATAAGATATTTTTTATTAAATCTGTGATCGAATGTAACTCTATAAATTTTTATTAAACCTATCCAAACTTCTCTCGAACTATTAAGGTTAGATACTAATATGTTTATTATTATTTTTTTCTATTTTTATATAAATTTAGGATGATTAATTTTTAAAAATATACTATTTTTGGATTAAATATTTGATCAAATGTAACTCTTTAACTTTTTACTGAACCTATCCAAATTTTTTTAGAACTACCAGAGTAATTATTGGTATTTTTATTATTTTTTATGAATTTAAGATGATTAATTTTTAAAATAGGATATTTTTATATTTAATCTATGATCGAACGTAACTCTTTAAATTTTCATCGAGCATATCTAAACTTCTCTGGAACTATTAGGATGGGATGTGTAATATATTTATTATTACTTTTTTTTTTTTATTTTAATATAAATTTAATACGATTAATTTTTTAAATAAATTTTTTTTGTGTTGAACATGTAAACGAGCGTAACTCTAGTGTAATTCAAGTTAATTTTCATCAAACAAATATAAACTTCTCCAAAACTACTATATCTTAATTCTAAGATATATAACATCATTTTTTATTTTTTTGATCATGATTAAGTTTTCAAACATGTTTTTGAATTGAATATATACTCGAGTAGAACTTGAGTTAATTTTCAACAGATCAATGTAAACTTTTCTAAAACTATTATCATATTATTATAAGATATTTAGTATAACTTTTTTATTTATGATGGATTAAATATAATTTTAATATAAAAAAAATATATTTTTAATACACATATAGCTATATAGCATGATATTCATCTATTGAGATCCGAGAAGAAAAATACGAGAAAAAAAATATAAATAAAGATAAAAAAATAAAATCAATAATAATAACAAAAAAGTCTAAAGTTCCAACAATCAAAAGATTGGTTACATCAAATTATTATTATTATTATTAAAATCTGTAAAATAAAAAAAATAAAAAATGAGAAAAAAGAAGAAAATAAATTATGAAAGATAAATGTGATGATAACAACGAGTAATGGTCTCACAATAGTGCAAAGAGGGAGAAAAATCATGCTTATAACTTATGATGAACCCTAAAATCATTACTCATTCCAAAAGAAATTTTTGATCTGATATATAAATTAATACATAAGAAGAAAAAGAAAAAAAATAGTATAAAATTATTTTTTCATAATGGTTCTACCTCTATAAATCTTTTTTCATCATGTTATTAAATCTGATGTAGCATAAGATAAATTCTCTAGAAAAGCTCCCAATTTTATATTTTTCCTGCATAGTGCCCCTCATATAAATCCTTCTATAATATGGTAAATTTGTTTTTATTTCAAAGTTACTGTAAATTCATGTTATATGGGGTATAATAATAAAAATAATTTAAAGGATTGAAATGATTTAAAAATAGAAAAAACAATCATTTAGACCCTTATTTTTAAGATTTTCTAAAAAATTAATTTTTTTTTGGATTAGGTAAAATCAGAAACTTTTATATGGAATTTACTCTTCGGTATATTATTCATATATTTATATTTTTAATATAAGTAAATAAATACTGTTTCAACATGCAATCATTCAGTTTTTAGTATATAAGTAAATAAATACAGTTAATATATGTAAATAAATAAAAAAATATATATTATTTATGTATTTTTAATCGTTGATCCAATGTTCCGAGATTTGATCGGTCCAGTCCGGTTCACGTGGTCATAAGTAGACCGTTTGGTGCATATGACCTGTCATAAGCCGGGCCGGACCGGATCCGACTTGGATTAGCGTATCGGTTCCATCATTAGGCCCTTCGGCGTTGGGGTGAACGCGTCTTTGCCAAAGCTGATAGCCGGCGGAAGACGCAACAGAGCTCGGGCGGAGGGCGGAGGGCGACAGGAGAGGCGATGGACAACCTGGGGTTGATGTGGGAGATCATGGGGCCGGGGATAGCTGGCGCCGTGTTCGGCGCAGGGTGGTGGTTCTGGGTTGACGCCGTCGTCTGCAGCGCCGTCAAGATCTCGTTCCTACATTACCTCCCCGGTGAACCCCCTTCACCTTCGCCCCCGCTGTTGATCTCTTTGGCCGTGTCTCCGTAACTCGTTAGATTTCGAATTGACCCCATCCGATGACCAATTTTTAGGAATTTTTGCGTCGCTTGCGGCTCTCATGTTCAACTGCGTCGACAAGAATGAGATCGGCTACGATTACTACTCACCTTACGGAGAGACCGAATGGAGGTATGATTTTTTCTCGTCTGATCGTCTGTTATCTTTGATTTTGCCTGTGGATTTAGTTTTGCACATGTCAATGTGAAAAACCGATAGGTTTTGGACAAAAATTGTGGGGCTTTGGTAAGTGGGAGTCTTAATTTGGTGATGATGCAACTCAAATTGTTACAATTCTAACAGCCATGCTTCTGATGATGTACTTCCTGCTTCAGTTAGTTGAATCATATTCTAATAGTGTTAGTTCTCTATGATCCATGAACTCCTATTCAACTAATGTTAGTTTTCTACGAAAGCTTTTCTGCTCAACATTTTTTTAAGATTAGGTTAGCGACATTCAGTTACTTGGAAGAGTAGTTTTCAAACACTAACTAAAACCAACTTGTGGCTGTCAATATTTAAAAAATCTTATGCCGATTTTGTTATGGGTTATGATCTATAACCACATAGTGTGCCTAAAAGCCACACTCTCATTGTTAAATTATATCATGTGATAACTGTTATATGATGTCCTTTCTCATTTTGTGGTCGTGGAAATTCCTTCTCAGTAGGCATCTTTCTTTGTCTATATTCTTTTGCCATTTTAATGGAGAGAAGATTGTTCTACCAAGAGTTATTCATAATTCTTGTAGATTATTTACTGATTGCAAAATACGAAAATTCTATGACTTTGGGTTCTAAACATTCCATGATTCTGATGCTCAGAAGATGTATAATTTTTATTTTTTGTTTAGAATGATGCTTATAACTTCAGGTGAATAATGAACAGGTCAAAGCCTGTACAAGACTAGCTATCACTGGCTGAGGAATTCCCATGACATCTCAATATCTCTTGTTAATTCATGTTAGTGAAGGAAGATGGCAGGATATTTGTAGTTCAGAGTGAGGGACTTAGAAACGAGGTTGTGATACTTGGGAGTAACAATTAGATTCAGTTTCTAGAAGTAATATGAGGAGGTGAAGGGAAGAAAAAGAACATAGAAAAATGTGAAGAGACACTACAAAAATTGGTAAGCGTTTTATCTGCATAAGGAAAGAAAACATTTGAGATTTCAATTTCCATTGACTTTTTAAGAACTCTTTGATCGGATAAAGTGGCAGCCTTGAAGCCAGCAAACACTATACAACTTTCTGCTTTTGGTGTTTGGTGCATTGGAAGTGGAAAGAAACAGAGAGATCCACCTTTAAAAGAAACTACAACTTTGTTCATAATTTTATCTTGAAAGATTGAATTCCAAAATTGGGGAATTGAAACGAAATCTGGTGTGCAGAGGCACCAGTTTGGTTTTTTGAACCAAATTGGAATATTTTCAATTTGGTTCAATTAATTAAAAAGCCAAATAAACTTAGTTGATGTGATCTAACGCAACAAACTAGACTGTCTAACATAAACTAATAAGCTAAAGGTGAATCCAATAGAATTACCCCCACCAAAATTGTCAAACTGGTTCAACTAAGAATTACACCACAATAAACAAAATAAATCACTGAATCTTTTTGGGAAGTTGACTTTTGTGATAAAGAACACTTGTATTATCTAACTTGTACAGATTACATTGCTATGTTCAATCTTTATTTAAATTATACAAGAGAATTTCAACATATTAGTGTCAGTGTAACATTAATCTACAATTAGTTTTGTTTACTGAGTGTTCTTCTAACTTATATTTATTCTCACCTTAATTTCCTTATCCCTGAGCATGTTTAAATTCAATCTCTCAGTTGGAATCTGAAATGTCCTGTAGATATAACTTCATTGTAAATTTGCCAGTTTCTGGGAGCTACTTCACCCACTTTTTAGGCTTCCTTTCTCCTGATCTATATCCCAATCTAATCTTGCTCATGATTTTATCTTCATTTTGATTTTGATATTGGCCTCAATCCTTTTTCCAATTTTCATTTTTATGATATTTCAAAAAGCTGTAGAACACTCATTATACTGATGTAATTGCAACACTTCTCCACTCTAAGGCTGAAACTTTTTATTGATCAATTGGGGCATCCTATGTGTACTTTGAGGGTGCTACTTAAGAGCTTACTTGTGATACATCATCTGATCATTGGGCTTATGTAGGGCTTATATCAAGCACATTGGAAACTTCATGTTGTTACAATCATCTGAAATTAATTAATTTTCAGCCTCAAAAGGACCAGTGTTGATTTGATGTGCATTGAAAGCTGAAACAGGTTTTAATCGAGATATGAGGTTTAACTTTGTTACCATTTGGCCAACTTCCATTAAAGGTTTGTAGCATTTGAATAATTATTGGCTGATATAAATATGGTCAAGATCCATGTACATGAGATCTGACATAATTTTACTTTGGTTGCCAATGACCTAACCCGACCCTTGATCCTCTATCTTTTCCTATGAAAGAAAGAAAGAAAAAGAAATATTTTCATTCATGAACAATAAGTTGGGATTTTGGTTTTGTTGTTGTTGTATATAAACAGGGTTTGATTTGCTTTCCTTGTGGTTGCTACTGTAAATTTTAGTCTAAATTTTAGTTGAAGTTGTCAGTTTGCTGTAACTTCTTGCAATTTATATTGTTCTGTTGGGTCTTCCAAAAGATAGCTCATTGACAGAGATACTAAATAGGTGTTGAAGAGGATGTAAAGTCACATCTCATGTTGTTGCAGCATCAATGGAGAAAACAGTGAATAGGTGTTGAAGAGGATGTAGAGTCACATCTTATGTTGCTGCAGCAGTCTTCTTCCTTTTCTTCTTCTAGCTTTCTTCCATGAAGCCTTATTTTGCAACGTCTTATGTTGTTGCAGCATCAGTGAAGGAGAAAACAGTGAATAGGTGTTGAAGAGGATGTAGAGTCACATATTATGTTGCTGCAACATTCTTCTTCTAGCTTTCTTCCATGAAGTCTTAGAGAGTCACCATTCTTTCATGATTGCTATTTGTTTTCCTTTGATTCCTTGTTGCTTGCTTCATACAATTGGATTTTGATTCAGAATTCTTTTTCCTCATTCCTAGTTTCATTCCCATGTGCCTTCCAGGAATCCTCACAGGTCAATAATGTTTCATGATTTTTATTTATTCTCCTTAGTTCCTCATTGCTAACTATGTTCTTTCTTATCTTGAATGAGTTCCTGTTGCTAAATTAACCGACAAATTGCACATATTTTCAAAATTCATCATTCTCGTCACATACTTAAGGACTTGTATGACTCCTGTGAATTAACCATCCATTGATTGCATATTGACCCTTCCCAATTTAATTAACAAGCAACATTCTTGGGAACTGCATTTTGGTGGCAGTATTTGTCTGAGCATGTTTGGACTCAAATGAGATATTTTTTAGGTTTTTCATTGTTCTGTGACTTGCAGTTGATAGAATGCTTTTTCTGAAATATTCTGTTCTGCTCCAATTTCATTTGAAGGATCATCTAGTGTTCCACGTTGTTTCTTTATGACTGATGGTTAGAATGCTTTTTCTGATAGGTGACATCAGAATCCTAATTTCTGTATACATCTTTAGGCTTAATGCAGGAATTGACTATCATACTTGTGTAGATTTCATTCTGTGACTGGGTCATGCACAAACTTTTCTTAGCAGATTATTCTGCTTGATGTGCATTAGTCCTGGTCATGAAGCTTGATGTACAGATATTGTTCTGACGAGGTTTTCATGGTGGTTACATGCAACTGCATAATTTTAATGCTAATTTTGTACAGTTAAGCCAGTGAACTGTAAAGTGTCTTTGATTACTTACGATTCTCCAATAGTTAGAGACTCTGTCCGTGTGAGGAGGCATTGAGCATGTGAATGAGGTCACCTCATTGGCTTGGAGACTTCTCAATGGTTATCCTGATTGAGTAGAGCAGAATGTGAAGTTTATTGCTGGGAAGTGGCATTCTTCTTGAAGCAATTGTGCAAAGGACTGTTTTTGCATTAGTTCCGAAATGTTTGAGCACTCACCATCTCTAGCAGTTGTCACAACTAATAAAAAGTTCAAACAACATCTGAAGGACTAGATACCATAGTTGACCGTCAGAAGCCTACATGATATTTTGGTTCATAAATCGTTTGCCTCACCGTGTAATTGCTTGCTTTTGGAATATGTTTAAGCCCTTTGTTTGCTGTTTCATTTCATTGTCCTAAATTTGTTGGTGGAATTTGCAGGGTGAAGCTCTGGCTTTTTGTGGCATATGTTGTGTCATTTGTTTCTTTAGCGGGGGCAGTAGGCCTGCTTGTTCAAGATGCTCTCACAGAGAAGAGCCCCTCGGTGTGGACAGGAGTTGCTGGTGTTTTGCAGTGTGTGTTTGTTTTGATAAGGTAATCCTCCTAAAACATATGCACATTGGATACATGGAATGTAACCTGTCACTGATGATGACCTCATTTGCAGTGGGCTGATATATTGGACTTGTCATTCCGAAGATTAAGTGGTAAGATCAAGAAGAATGTTTGTGCTCAGGTCTGCAATAACATGGATTTTTCTGTGGGAAGCCCTTTCATGAGTAATTAATGTAGAATATACAGTCAAATGGTTTACTTAGAAGTACTTTGCATCTAAAGAGTTTGATTGTTTGCATACGTGTGTATGTGTAATTGGATCTCTATATGTTACAAGCTCACTTGCAATTTGAAATGCTGCAAGTGTTGCCCTTCTATTAGTTTTAGATGGCACAATCGTCTTCTCCTCATTTGAGCAACCACAGTTGATACATTAACGTCACCTGTTCTTAGATGTTGCAATCCGATGCCCTCTGTAGATTGGATAGTTCCATGTCTGATACCTTGATGCATCAATCACCGAAGGCCCACCAAAAATACTGGTATAAGGACCAATAGGACATGTTTTAGCCGTGCACTTGTGGCCATGGATATGTACACCTATCTTTGAGCCATTTGGGACTTTTGGGCGGGGCCAAGAACAACAGGCCATCACGCCCAACCCATGAAAGAGAGGGTGGGAATCTTCCGTTGCTTGGCAGGGGAATATTGCATCGGTTTGCACTCTTATCAACACAGCTTAATATATTAGCCTTGCGGTGGTGCCGAATGCCCATCGTTGAGGTCGTCGGATGCGGCCGCTCTCGTTTTTTTGGCCCTTTGTATTAAACAACATCGAGAACGTGAAGGTGGCACGAGCCACAACTAACATTTCGCTAAACCCAATCTCAAGACAAGTAAACGATGAGAGAGCCAACGCAAAGTGCCAAAAGACTTCCCTCATCTTCTTTCCCTTCGGCTCCGCAACAGACGCGAAAAAGAGAACGAATACGATAAACGATACCCGAGCAAGAAACCCTAACCCTAGCTTCCCCCACCCGTCCCCGATTCCCGGCGACTGGGCCTCTCCCTTTCCGATTTAGGGTTCCCTCGATGTCCAGCTGCCGTCGCTTCGTCGGCCCCCGGCCTTGAGCGCCGCGCGGTGGCCCGGGCTAACGATGATGGGTAGAGGCTCCGTTGATGTTCCTGCGGAGGCGGCGGTGCCCGGCGTGAATCTCTTCGCGCAGGCCCGGAAGGCGCTGTCGGTCTCCTCCCCCTTCGACCCCGAGGAGTCCGCTCCCCGGGTCCCGACGCTCCCCTCGGGCTTGGCGTCCTTCCTCCTGCGGGGTCCGGACAGCCACAGGAAGCACAAGAAGTCCCACGGAGAGGCCGCCGAGAAGCCCTCGGGGCACGGGACGCCTCCGACTGTGTGGGATGTGACTGAGGAGTTCTTCCGACCGGTTACTCTGTCTGATATCGATTTGTTGGCGCCGAAACTCCCATTGTGTCCCGGCTTGCTGGATTCGTGCTTCACCATGCCGGTGTTTGATAATGGGGTGGAGGATGACAAGAAAGATAGTAAGGCGGATACTTGTGCAGCTGAATTGAGTTCCATTACATTGTCCAAGAAGGAGGAGGTGATTTTGGAGCAGCAAATTGAGGAGGTGGAGAAGGTTCAGGCAACTGAGGAACTTCCTCCCATGGAAATAGATGAGATTGTGACTTCTGTTGGTGATGCAATGCCGATGCAAACAGTAGGAGATGATGATAATCTGTCTTTGCATTGGCTTTTGGGGTCGAAGAAACGATTGGTTCTCTTGGCTGAGCGCGCCGATAAGAAACGGAAGCTCTTGGATGGAGATGCTGGCTTGGATAGGCTGTTACTGCTTCCTCATTCACACACAGGAGTTAATCTCTGTGATTTCTGTTGCTCCATAGAGAATGGAGTGAAGAAAAATAAGTTTCTTCGTTGCCATTCTTGCAAAGTTGTGGTGCACCAGAGATGTTATGGAGTGCATGAGGTTCCAGAGGGGGTTTGGCTGTGTGCTTGGTGTAAGCATTTGGAGACAGCTGGAATAGTTTCAAAGAGAGACGGTGATGACCTCAGTTCAAGGCCATGCTTGCTTTGTCCTAAAGATGGTGGAGCACTGAAAACAGTGACAATGGATCCTTCCCTTAGCCCGAGTGATGGTGCTGCGAAGTTTGTGCACTTGTTTTGCAGCCTATGGACACCAGACGTATATGTGAAAGACACTTGGGCAATGGAACTGGTTATGAACATGGGAGGGATACAAGATAAACGCAGGAAGTTAGTATGTAACGTGTGTAAGGTGAAGCATGGTCTATGCATAAGATGCAGCCATGGTAAGTCTTCCTTCTATATTTTTTAAAATCTTCCTTTTAATTCTAGTACACCTTTTAGTGCCAAATTTCTCTGTGGTTTTTGTCTGATTATGTGGGTGGTAAATCAGGTATCATTTTCTGTGAGCTTTCCTTTTTGTTCTGATTATGTGGGTGGTATTGTTTGTTACTACCATTAGTGCCATGTAAATTTACTTATTTCTTATCAAAGTCTCGTTTATGAAGTGATAAGATCAATGTTCTTGAAGTGGCCATGATATATAGTCAATCAAGTGCTTCATAGTGCATAATAAGTACACAGCCAGATACTTAGTACCCAATAGAATCTTGAAACAATTTACATCAATGAGTGCCAAAAGAATATGATGTAATTTAAAACAATAAACAGGACATAGACCAACTCAAGCTATTTAATTATGACAAGACACTTGAGGGTTTTATGAAGTAACTTTATGTTATGAAGGTTTTAGATATTAACAAAGTTTTGTCAATTGTCATGTGGATGTACCACAGCTTAGAAACCAATTGTTGTAGATTAGTTATGAAATTGCTTAATGGGAAGGAGAAAGCGACATAATGATCTGTGTTGTTGCAGAAACTGCTTATTTAGCCACATAATGAATTAATGTGGCCTGTATATGTGACCTCATGTGCATTCCTAATAAATAACAATGTTCACATAGGTTTATGCAAGGTGGTTTTATGACAGCTCACATGCAGCTTCTTGAACCATAACATTGGGAAACTGGACAGAATGAATACTTTTATATGTGGGCCAGTGATGATTGATGTTGAAATTATTAATGTACTCACTTCTTAATAAGTTTACTTGGTTTTCAGTTCTACAGTTTTCCAGTTATGATATCTGGTCCAGTTGGGATGTTTCAGGGACATGCAGAACATCTTTTCATCCTTTGTGTGCAAGGGAGTCAAATCATCAGATGGAGATATGGGGAAAGTTCGGATGCACTAATGTAATTCTTCATTGTTTCCTTCCCTACTATATTATCTCTGGACATTGCATCTTATGGCATGCCAAAGCTAACCTTTTCTTACCTGATACTTATGTAGGTTGAGTTGCGAGCTTTTTGTTCAAAGCATTCGACTTTTCAAGATATGGGTGGTGTTAAGGACACAAACAATCTTCTATTGGCTATTGATGATAAGAAATTGGTACCAAAGCTTTCATCTGCTGTTCTACCTACTAAAAAGTTACCAACGTTACAGCTTACTCCCAATAAAAGAGATCAAATCATGATGCAAAATGAAATTGCAAATTTGAACTCAGAAAAGATACTCCAAATGAAGCCTGATGAGCAGGATGCCTTAGTTGATAGGCTTGATTCCAACAGTGGTCAAGCAGGTACAATTGCGGAGATGGATACTGATGGAGCTGTTGATAGCAAAAATATTAAAAGAAGTACCTATGATGTCTCTGCAATTCTGAGAAAGGTTTTTGTCTGGGAAACTTAAGAGTTTCTACTTTTATGTTTTACAAGGATGCAATTTCGGTGGAATGCTGCCACATAAATATATTAAAGATTTTCTTTGTGCAGCTAATTGATCAAGGTAAAATTAATGCCGATGATGTTGCATCAGAGATGGGCATCTCATTGGACTCCTTACAAGCGGCTCTTATCGTATGTGTGAAATGCATATTTGTTCACTTCCTTATGTCTTTTTTTAGTTTTAAATATTTTACAAATTTGACAGGGAGAAACAACGTCCTTTTCACCTGGGTTAAGGTTGAAAATCATCAAGTGGCTTCAGAGTTCTGTACTTACACCAACTTTGCAACCATCAAAAGTTAGGAATGGTCCTGTGATATCATCAGATTATAGAGTCACAAAGTTTGATGGACTAAATGATGCTAAAATAGAAGATCCAGGAAATAATCCAGGTGGTGATGTCACAGGTGTTGAAGTATCGGATGCTGTTCTTGTTAAGTTGTTGCCACCACGGAGAAGAACAAAAAGCAACATCATGATATTGAAAAATAACAAAGCATTACGTTCATCTGGACTGGCTTCTGTTTTGGAAAATGGTAATGGGAAAATAGTTGATGAGATTGACAACATTCAAGTTGTCATAAGCGAAGATATGAAAGGAAATATTAATGAGAGGATATGTTCTAGTCTCCTTATTGGATTGTCAAATGACCAAAAGCCTGTGGTGATGGTAAAAACTCTAATTCACAAGTTCAAAAGCATGTTGCATTTGTTCTTAAGGATTAGCTTGGTGTTGATTTTACTTTAGAAAAGTGTGCAAATTCTGGAATGTTTGTTTGCAATTCTTCCATATCCATCTTAGCTTTGCTTCATATTAACTATTTACTATTGTGTAATGCATTTTAAAAATTTCCTTGAATAATTTGCCTTCAAAGTGTTGATCAGGTTTGGTCCAGTTTTCAAGGGCCTAGATCCAACACAAACAGTGATTTTACAGTATGCTGCAGTTTTGAATAAGGCTTGTATGCTATTCAAATTATTGCCGAAATAGAAGAGCCATAACCAGTTGCACTCATTGCTTCAGACATTAAATCCAAGTTAACTTTCTCTGTGGTTTTAGTTTAGGTAACCATTACTTGTGGGTTTTAATTCACTGTGTAACTATAGTCTGCCTTTGGCAAGGAATTGGAGATGGAAATGCATTGTAGATCGTATTACATATGGAGAGGCACAAAGGGAGGCAGTTTGGATTTGAAATTAATCTGGTTAATGAAGGTTAGTAAGGGATGGTGCCGTTGTGCTTGATGAGTTAGGTGAGTGGGATTGTAAGATAATGACTCAACTGTGACACAGATAATGCTTCGTCAGTTAATCAACATTTTCCAACACTGTCATTCTAACATAATCATTCTGCCCATTCATTTACCTAGAGAGAAAACCTAGTTATTTGCTAGAAAGAGAGTGATAGGTCGGCTTGAATTTCTGATGACCACACACAGTTTACATGGACCAACGTTTAGAAAGGTTTTACATGGGTTACAGTTTAGAATGACTTCTGACCTTGTTGTATGTCTGTGTATGATGCACACCATCAACCAGTTACAACTTTAGAGCTGATTGTGAGCTGGCAAGTGATTTTTAAAACAAATAGTACACTGAAAAAGGTAAAGATTTTAATATCTTTTCTTAATTGAGTTGGAGGTTAGTCTTAAGGAGAAGGAAGATAGGGTCGGTGGCAGTAAGTAGGCTGGTGCTAGGGATGTCATTGGGGTGGGGTGGGGAGTGCTTCCCCCATCCCCGTCCCTGTCTCATCCTCCATCCCTGCCCCATTACCCATTTATACGGGTCGGGGACGAGAACCGGGAATCCCCATTAGGGGCGGGGAATCCACAGGTTTTCCATATTCTCTTAATTAATCCATTCTATTTTTTTTAAATAAAACTATTATCAAAATTAATTAACAAAATCAAAATTTACAAATAATAATTATTGTTGACTGTTGAATTCATTCCTCCGACATGCAGGTCGCGGCGCGGGGGGATGTTAATATTGTTTCATCTAGTTCAATCAAACCAAATAGCTTGTAGTTGACTCACGATCGACTCAACCAAGGCTCAACCCAGTTTGATTTAAATCAAACAGGCCAGGCATTCGGGCCTAACATTTAGGCTCACATATTGATGGGGCGGAGATGGGTACAGCCATACAGGGACAGAGTGGGAGTTCTTTACCATCCTTGCCCCATATCTGCGTGGGTAATAAAAAAAACCCCGTTCCTGCCCCAACCCCCAGGTCCCCACGGGCATAATTGACACCTCTAGCTGGAGCAAGGGGCTTCACGGTGTTTGACTGGCGATGCTGCAGTGAGGGGGCAAAAGAGCAAGGCTTGAGAGGCAACAAATAGATTGGGTAAAAGGGTAGCATTGGGCAAAAGAAGATGACTGAAGAAAAGTTATACTTTTCACCATATCTAGCTTATGCCCATGCAACTCTGTGCCTCTTGCGTATGGGCATGACTAATCATATGAAAGTAGAGAGAGGTGGATGTTGACCATCTATAGGAGAATACATAACAGAGTTAGAGATTTAGAGACTCAGGAAATTGGTTGAGTAGTCAAATCTACTTGGCAATATTTTTTAAGGTTTACAGTTCTGATTTGGTTTTAATAAACAAGAAAGCTAGCTGTAATTATAAACCATAATATGAAAAGTTTCAAAGCCCAATCCTTTTTTATGCTTAAATCAGACCAAATTATATTAATCCCATATTGAATGAGCCAATGAGGACAAACACTTAGATTGAATTATTAGTGCCTAAGGGTAGTACTACTGTGAGATTGACTGAAGTATTTTAGGTTAGTAGTCCAAACTTTGTAAGTTTATAAGTCAGTTATCCCATTAGGTTGGTTTGGATCAATTGTTCTTAGAGCCGACCTAGTATTGGATATGGTAAGGAACTCTAGTAGCAAAGGATTACCCGTAAATGAGGCTAGATAGCACATTATGACGTGATGCCATCTCTGGGTTAGGCCTCATGTTTGGTAAGGTTTGATTATGAGCTATATTAGGTCATTGACAAGGATATTAAACTCTTAGATGGGGGAGATTGTAACGTCCAGGTTTAGTCCTATATTGGAAGTGAGCCAAGACTTGGATTTAACTGTACTGTTGCTAACTTGGCTTATAAATATTTTGGATTAGGTTTAAGCTTTTGTTAAGCTCAGCAAAATCAATGGGTCAGTGATCCCATCGTCGAAGCTCTTCACAGGGACCCATCTTGAGTAGGTACACATTGTCATGGATAACTGATAAACTGGAGGTTTAGATATGTGGGTAATTGTAAGAGATAGTGTATTCAAGCTTATGAATTATCTCCAAAAATTATCCATTCATGTTGCTGGATCTGCTACCACACATCCCGGTAGATTGTGATATTTTAGTCCTGCATGTTTGATTAACGTCCTTTCTCTTGAATGAGAGCATATTCTCTTGCACATCATTCCTGATTTTGATTTCCAGAAATGATAAGTAGGTGTTTCTCCTTTGAGTGGTAGGACATATAATGCAATTTTGTTCATTGATGAGACACATACTGTTATAAGCTAATCTTTATAAATGTTAATTCTACAGTTACAGATAAGATATCTAATGCTACACTTGATTCTCAATGTATCAGGCATGGTATACTGGTTGCTGATTGGCATGGGATGGGTCCTGTGCCAATTATGTGCAGTCATGTGCCTCAGGTTTTTTGGGAACTTGGATCGCATCACGTGTTAGTGCACAGCATGGCAGTGCTGTGCAGCCCTTGGCTTGTGTAACCCTATGGTTACTTGCCCCTGCTTTGAACAAGAGTGTATAAGATAACCATGCAGTATAATGCAAGTACAGTGATGTTGTTTTGTTGTCAAGATGTATCTTTAGTTCATAAAATGCTTATAAGTAAGAATTATTAGATAAAGTAATACTGTGGCAAAGTATGCTGAGATGATATTTATAGCTTCATTTTTTTTGCCACTGTTTTGACTTTGCAAATTATTATCTGAACTTCTTTTTGGTGTAAAACTAATTTGGCTTTTCTTTTTTCTGATAACAACTTAATTGCTCATTCTGAATTGACTTTTTTATAACTTGATTTAAAATATTTTTCTTATGTATGCAACACTAATTTCAACAGACTCTGGAAGACACATCTAAAGCTGAAGATTCTGTCCCATCAGATCCAAATCAAGGGCAGAAAAGTATGTTGTGTCTATACATTGTTATATCTCTTTATTTGTATCCATTCATTTGTCACTTAGTGTCTCCATTCACATTATCTTGATTGTTGGAAATAAGGCATATGTATTATCCTGTGCAGTCATGATGATGATGTTGTTTGAAAATTGATGCACTTTTTAGTTTATTGCAAATAAGAAAGAATTCTCATTTTCTTGTTTTAGAAAAGAAAATGCTACCTGGAGATTGTGACACTATTGTTGGAGTTAAAAACTAGCATCTTTAAAAATGTTGGTGGCTTTTGTGTTTTCCTCTTCCTTAGTAATAGACTTTGCATTTTGCAGCAATAAGTAGATAGCTCTCTTTTTTAGGCAAAGACAGGAGCCCTGTCAGCTTATCTCATTTAGAAGATGAAATAAGAGAAAGGTTGTGTGACAAAAAGAAAAGCGACTAAGAGAGGAATGGAGAAGACCGAGATATGATGCAAGATTTAGAACAAGCAGAAAATATTAAAGTTATACAGGTGTTGATGTGAGACAATTTTAATACATTTATCATTTTAATGAATTTTATTAGCTTAGGGGTATTTTATTAATATTGTAAGTTGCTAAATGCCAATACATTCCATAATCAAACATTAGTTATCAATGTTGTCTAAGGACAAAGAAAGAGAAAGCCAGCTAAAAGGAGACAAATCTTAGATTGTTCGAGGACTCTGAAGAAAAAGGAAGTCTTGGATTTAATTGAACATGTCATTTTAACAAGGAAAATTTTCTTGATTGAGGAATTTAGAAAGGAGGTAGCCTAGCAATCATATATTTTATCAATAAGGAAGATTGAGTAACAAAAAATAAATATGGAAATACATCAGTAGTGCATATAATTTATCACATATATTTCTTCTGTGGCATAAACATTTTGCTAAAGCTGATGCTGAGGGCTCATGCAGATCCATCAGTAGCAAGTGTCAGGTCTAAGCTTGTATTGGAAATGTTAAAGCAGCATTGTATTGATCCAAATACATCTTACAAACTAATGCATAATAATACATTCTGCTTGGTTAAGACATCTTTATAAGTAGAAAGAGCTAAATTTCTATCGGCTTATAGCTAAATTTTGATATGGCAGTAATATGATTTTTACTGTATATTTATGGATAGGAAGCTCACTGAGATAGTAAACGGCGATTTATCTGATGCAGATGACATGGCAAATGATATTGAGGAGAAAGTGTCTTTTTTGCATTATGAGGGAAACCAAGCTGTTGATACTAATACCACGACTCAAAATACCATGCAGAGTGGTTATTCTAATTACTATGATGGTGAAGTTGATGTGGTGCTTTGTACTAAATCTTATCTTGAGTAAGTTTCTATTACTCTTTCTCGAATATTTCTCCAATGTAGCTCTTGAAAGGGTCAATCTTATTGATCATCATGGTGCCACTAGGAAGATAATTGCTTTATATATTTTTATATATTTGACTTTCTGGTTATGCAGAAATGGTGGATCTGGTTCTGTTTTTGTTGTTCATCCATTGATCAAGAAAAAGTTGTTGCACATGCAGAATTCTGAACTCTTAAAGAACAAGCCTACAGATCCATTCTCTAATGGTAAGTCCCCATAAGGAGTCTCTACATCCAAGGCATGATTAAGTTTGCATGTTCGTTAAGTCATAATCTTTTGTTTGATAATTGCTCATCTTAGTTGACAAGAAAAATTATGTTTTGTCTACATATGCAGCCAAGTCTTTGTGTTCTTCCTGTGTCCAACAAGGATTGCTTTGTGCTGCAAGCTATACATCGGATGGTGCAAAAGAGCTTGATCAGCTTTCTAAAGCTAAAAGCGTCGGTGTCTTGGACCTTTCCCCTGAAGATGAAGTGGAGGGAGAAATAATTTACTTACAAGCTAGGCTACTTGATAATGCTGTTTTGATCAAGCATAATTGTGGTAGAGCATCTTATAATCTATAGTTTTACCATTTTGTTTGTATTATCCTACCTGAAGCTGCGTATGTGAAAATGTGATATTGGTACAACATATATTGTGTTTTATTAGCATAAATATAAATTAAAAAATTTGTATTTGGAAAATTGTTTAGCTCTATTTCAGTAACTGTTCAAGTAGTATCTGTGATTTGTTTTATTTGTTATCTTTACATATAATCATTAAATTATTCCTTTTTTCACTGTGCAGAAGATTTGTTGTTGAAGATTGTTGAGAATCTTGCTCATGAGCTAAATGCATTAAATAAACGCAAATGGGACCTAATCCTTGTCAATCAATTTCTTCGTGAAATTAGAGAAGCAAAGAAGCGAGGAAGGAAAGAGAGAAAGCATAAAGAAGCTCAGGCTGTACTTGCTGCGGTTACTGCTGCAGCTGCAGTTTCATCAAGAAACTCTTCATTAAGGAAAGATTCAAATGATGAGACTGTCTTGGGTACCCAGGAGGTGAAAGATTTACCTTTCTTGTTGGTGAATATATGTTCACACAAATGATCTGATTTCTTTAATTATTTTATTTTCTTTGCTAATAGACTCCCATAAAAATAAATGCTGCGACTGGTATAGCTGGGTTACACCCCCCATTGGTTCCTCAAACAACTGAGGCTTTTAGGTCAACCTTTGGTAAATTATCATCAGCCAAGCATTCCATGGCTTTCCAGATGCCAGAGTTTTTAAAAGACAATGCCCTGTCCTGTGAGATTTGCATGCGAACTGAGACAATATTGAACCGGGTCTTTGTCTGTTCGAGGTGCAAGGTAATTGATATGTTCATCTTTGTGATTTCTTGGAATATTGATATTAAGGCCAATATACCTTGCAGGTTGCAGTTCACTTAGACTGTTACCGTAGGCTTAAAAGTCCAATTGGATCATGGAAATGTGAGCTATGCGAGGACATGTCACTGCCATCTACTAGCCCTAAAAGTCAAATAGACGGCAAGGGCACATCTGCTGTTGTAGCTCAGTGTGGCTTATGTGGTGGTGTAACTGGTGCTTTGAGAAAGTCAGCAGATGGACAGTGGGTTCATGCCCTCTGTGCAGAGGTAATAACCTTTTATGGTGATTTTCTAATAAATTTGTGAATCTCTTAGTCCATCAGTATTTCCTTATATAAGAAATTGTTTCATTTTAGTGGTTGTTGGAGTCAAGTTTCAGAAGAGGGCAAGAGAATCTGGTAGAAGGAATGGTAATTTGTTATTCTATAGTTTATTATTTGTATGTTCTTGCTCATTACATCTGTTTTCTATTATGCACCAAAGGGAATGTACACAAACAAATCCTGTGTTGCATCAATTGTTTCGTTGTGCTCACTGTTGCATGTAACAAGTGTAAATGTGGAATATGTTATCATTTATTCTTTACAGGATACCATTTCCAAGGAAAAGGCCACTTGTTGTATCTGCTATCACAATGTTGGTGCATGCCTGAAGGTCTGCTCTCTTTTTTAATATGATGGAGCATGTTACAAATCAGATATCAAATTTGTGTCTTGACTATTTATTCTGTTCCTGATGCAGTGCAGCTATGGACACTGTAAAGTTACTTTCCATCCTTCTTGTGCTACTAGTGCTGGATTTTACATGAATGCCAAGGTCACTGATGACAACATACAACATAAGGCTTATTGTGGCAAGCATAGCATAGGGCAGAGGGAGGTAATGACATTATTCATATTGTATATCCCCTAATTTTTGTATAGCTTGAACGGACAAATGTGTTCTTCATCCGATCTTCTAATGATTAAATATTTGTTCAAGAAAAAGCAAACAACATTCAGCAGCTTATATTCCAGTGTGAACAACAGTGTCAAAATAAAGAGATTAAAAGAAAATCAAAAGGAAAGAGAGGAAAGTACCTTAATATTCTTAGGAGAAATGGAAGGCAGATCTAAGTCTCTTTCAATATATTAATTTCTCTCTATTCAAGACTTTTATCATTTGCAAGCTCATTTGCCCCCATACATAGTGTTTAACTAGATTTCTGAGTCTTCTGACTTCTGATCTAATTGGCAGGCTGACAACCAGCAATGTGGTTCTGAAGACATTAATAGCTTAAAACAAATACGGGTGAGAATGTGCTGTATCTTGAATCAGTTATTTTAGGGTTATTGGAGAGTTGTGCTGCTATGTTTTATGGCGTTTGATTCATATCACAAAGTGCTGCACTTATTCTTGGTTTTTGCACTGAAGTAAAATCCTTCGTTTCTGTTATATCGAGATCTTTTCATGAGGACTTTTTTGTATAATCTAGAAACCAGCACAAATATGTTGAAAGTTGTATCGATGAACAAAGTGATGGAGTTTGCAATCTTGATTCAACTTTTAAACTATAATGAAAAGAAGTTGTGAAATAATCTAGTCTATCGATGCCAGTGGTGTCTGTTTTGTTGAAATTCATGTCTCACTTATCATCATGCTTGATAGGCCAGTAGCATAAAGTGTTGTGTAATCGGACAAGTCAGCGAATTGTACACTATATGCATGTAGCCAAGTGTATAAACTTGTCATTTATTTTAATTGCTTTGAAGTTTCAATTGTTATCCAACTAAGTCTGTGTTGTTTGACATATCTGTCTACAAGATCTCAAGGTCATTGTCAACAATGTGCAATTTTAAAGGATATAACCAACACAACATGCATAATGTAGTTCTTTTTTTTTTTTAATTTTGTATTTCCTTTTGTCTTTTAGAGCTTGTTAGTGATGTAACAAATGCCTATAGTTTGAAGTGATGATGGTATAGAGCATGTCCTTGCATAACACTGTTGTGTATGGTGTTGCTTTTGTGGGCGATGAAGTAGCTTTTCATTATTCCTTTTAAGATCCTTTTGAATATCACGAGAACTGAAAGTGTTCAAGATTTTTATATAATTGTTATTTTCAGTTCATAAGCCTACATAAAGTGTAGACCTATTCATATCCTGTTTTGGAAGAGATATTTGATCGAAAAGGTATTGTTTATGTCAGCCGTCTTGAATAATTTTTTGTTTGTGCTTTTGATATTCTTCAAGGAAGAGATAAATTGCATTAATAAGTGTCTCAAGATAAGTTTAATATATGAAAGGAAAAGTCTTGAGAAGTGGAAGATTAAGGAACAATTTCATTTTGTTGTCTCGAGGATATTAAATTGCAATAAAGAATTTGCAGATGGACTCGTTTTGTAAATTTTGTTCTTTTAAAGTGAAATTGTATCTACTGGTTATTATATGCCTTGTAATGGAATTATCAAAGTTGGTGGAGAACTCAGAAGATATCTGTAATCTGAAGATTCTTCAAAATATATAAACATGTTCATCTTCTTTTTTATTATTATTTTGTGTGGCATTTAGTTGTATATGTGAGATAAACTGAGTGGATATTCTAATTGAGGTTTTACTACAGGTTGAATTGGAAAAATTACGTCTTCTTTGTGAACGAAGTATCAAAAGAGAAAAGTTAAAGGTCACCATCTTTTGCTGACTTCTCTTTTGTTTATATCTTTTCTTGTTTTTGCTTATCTGTTATTCTAAAGACAGCCTATCTCGACTGTGTTCAGTTATTTCTGTTACTTTTCAGATATTTCTAAGATCTATGTGAAGTAATGCATTATAGCTTTCTGGTCTTCTACAACCGTTATTTTGGAACTAGTTGAATGCATAATGAATTAACTCTTCAGGCCAAAACATCTGGCCTTGGCAAAAAAGTTATTAATATTTATCACAATGGTAAATAACTTCCGAGGAACTATGAATGAAGTGGCGTGTCCCTTATCCAGGCCCATACAGTGACGCATAACACTATATGCTTTAGATAGCTATAGGCAAAATTGCCTTTCTTTTGTCAGTCTTAGTATCTCTGAACTGATAACTTCCTCTATATTCTTTCTTTGAAGTGGTACAAAAAACAAACTTCTAATTGCAATCTATCCCATACGGCCAGACCTGGTGATAACTAGTATCTTGTATTCGGGCGTAGCCTTGAGCCTAGGTTAATTGATGTTCTCTACCTCCTTTGCAGATGCTACTCCTATCTCTTCTATTTCAGGCATGTCTTGGTTGTTAATAACTGTAGATGTTTCTATTTATCAATTTTATACGATAATATTTGATGCTTAGCACATCATGATTTTCTAAATTCTATATTTTAGTAAAACTAGAATATGAAAAGGTCAACTCGCTGAAGCAGCCTTAGACAGTGTTTGCCATTAGTGTCGATCACATGACAAGTATACATGTAATATTTCCAAGGCGACATCAGAAAAGGCCTTTGTACATTATGTATTGGTTAGTCAGTTAGATTAGGCTAATTAGGACCATACTTACCAAGGTCTCTAACTCCCTTGAACGATGTCTTGTGTCATGCATACTGGTTGATGGGACTTTTTCATCCCATATTATCATAAGACACCTTTTTCCATCCAAGAGGGAGGAGGAGAGAAGCAAGAAGATGCAAGTGCACTCAGCTTTATGAGCCATGCATTGTGTGTCACTTCATGCTCGCCACTTGCCATGCAGCATTTGTGGCATGACGTTCCTGATTGTGGCTCCAAAGTACAATTGTGGCATGGTGAGACAGATGGGGGGATCAGAATCTTGTGATTCTTAGGCACTAGATTCTGTGAGTGACAGAAATTGAATATAGGTGAAGAGTACAGAAGAAAAGAGAAGGAAGTTTAGGGAAGAAGCAGAAAGAAATAAATTAGAAGAAAGGAAACTATCTCCAGAAAGTGAGAGAGGATTTAAAATAGTAAAAAAAGACAAGAATTAGATGAAAAATAAATTTTCTTAAAATATATTTTTTGCAGTAGCGAAGTTCGTTTGGTTATAATGCACTTTCCACACACACACACACACACACACACACACACACACATATATATATATATATATATATATATGTTGTGTGTGTGTATATCAACCAGGCGAATCCTGACATGGAGTAGCAACTATAAACTACTCTTCTTGTACTGCATATAAAGAAATTTATTGTCCCATGTCTCCATATACCCATACCACACAACATACTGAACCTTGATCCATGTTTGGGCCAAATCAAAATTAGAGATTTGATTTGCATGTGATCTAGTTGGAAAATAAGGTACAGCACTGCTCTCTTCCAGCAAAATGATCATGTAAGATGTGCCTTGTCTTAATATGGTTTGAGGTCATCCTCAGTTTTATGCTCATCCTGTCTAGGATTCTACCTTCCATCAGGATGGTCAGTTTACTACCACTCAGCCGTGGAAGTGCTATGCTGAATGTTTGGTATCAAGCATTTTGCAACAGGGTCAATGTGGGACACATTAACACTGTTTGTAATGGTGGATAATGAGAAAAGAAGTGTCAGTTGAACTCTTTCTCTTCTCTTCTGTTTTCTCCTCTCGCTGAGTAAGGAAAAAAATGGCATGGAGAAGGGGGCTTCGTTCTACTTCTCTTGATTTTTTATTAAAATATTTGTAAATTTTGTAGAAAAAAATAGAATTTCTCCATCTTTTCCCTATTTGTTCTCTCCAATTTTTCTAATCTAAACAGAATAAAGTTAAAATATTTGTTTTCAGTTTAGAAAACTTGGCATAACATTAGCATAACATCCATAAATGGGGCCAGTGTACCTTTTTTATGCACTATCACCTGGGCACTTCAAATTTATCTAATTCCCTCTTACTAGATACCTGGATACTTGAAGATGCCCTCAACAAAGGGATCTATGATACCAGGGGCTATTATGTAGCAAAACTCTGAGACTTTATCAATTTCAGCATCTAACTTGAATTTTAAATTAAACCTCATCTAAAATGTGTGCTAAATTGTCCAAGTGGTAGTCAGTACATGCGTAAATATATAAGATGCCTAATGCCACTCGCACACGCTAAATGTTTTCATCTGTCATTTTAAATTTTCATCTCTCATCATAAGTTTTGTTTTTTTCATTGTTGGTGGACTCCTGGATGCTAAGTATCCAATTCTAAGACCAAGTGCAACTTTTTTTATGGGTACTTAGTCCCACGGGCAACTACATCTTAAACACCACTGCCTGCAACCAATAATTCTCTCGTTTTCTTTAATATACTTTATTGTTTCTTTGTGTACATGTATTATTTTACTTTCTATATTTTAAACCATGTTATGCTTGTATATAACTGCAAATCGATAACTAAGCTTTTAATTGCTGGATTAGCAATAGATTATTACTCAAAAATCATACGCAAGGACCAGAAAAGATACAAATTATTTACATGCCCAAAATAAGGTTCCCCATATGCATTCAGTATTCAATAGACAGCTGATACCAGATCATTCCAAATTATATGTTGTTTAAGGATTCAACTAGGTTTAAGTTGCTTGAATTAATCTTTTTAATTTTTCAAGTTCACATCAGCATTGGTTGTAGTTTTTTTTTGACGTGCACATGGTTTATTAACTAGTTGAATTTTGACAGAAAGACTTGGTTCGTTGTTCACATGACATACTTGCTTCAAGGAGGGATTGTGCTGCGTACTCAGTGCTTGTAAGGAGTTCCTTCCAATCTGGGGCCAGTTCGGAATCTGCTACAACTTCTATAAATAATAGGTCCTACAGTGGAACAATCCAGAGATCAGATGAGATCACTGTAGACAGTACTGTTTCCAGGGAACACACAATTAGGTGTTCCTTGCATAATAAGAACTTTGATAGAAACACTGATGACAGCTCCTCATCACAACTATCATTCAAACGAAAATTAGCCGATAGGGCATCTTTTGCTGGTAAGCAACTTCCACAAAAATCAGCATCTAATGCATTTTGGAAATCAGCAGATGGAGAAAATAGACCTAAGGCAAAAAAGGTGTCAAATGTATACTTTGATTTACTTTAACCAGTTTTGGGTATAATTCTAGTTTTTTTGTAACTATGCTTTTGTTTTGTTGCAGACAGAGACTTTCCAGAAGGAACTCGTCATGACTTCAGACCAAGCATCTATGCAGAATCAGCGTCTTCCTAAAGGATATTTTTATGTTCCAGTTGGATCTCTTTCCAAAGAACTGCCACTTGAACAGGATTTGGAGTCTCATGAGCTACAAGAGCCTGGTGGATAGGTGCAAAGAGGAGTGAGTTGGTTCTTTCTTTTTCACTCGTGGGGGCCAGAGTGGTCCAGTGTACAATTTTAAAGGAGGATGCAGCTCGGTTGATGTGCTGATGTTGCAAAACAGCAAGGCTGGTGCTGATGTTGCAAAAATAGGGAGGGATTGCCGATGTATTTGTACACGGAGATGCAGCCTCAAGAAAATTTTGATGTATATCTATTGAAGATCAAATGTATGAAGTGTTGGAGTGAGTTTCCAAAAATGTATGATGTGGCTGTTACTGTTTGTTGACTGCCAGCTGGCTGCCTGCCATTAGCTACCCACTTAATGGCCATGATGGAAGCTTGGCTCTTTAATGCATCTGTATATGTGGGTATAGGATCATTTAGGTTACAGGTTTTGTAAAATTATTTGTACATTCTTGGCATCTCAATATTTCTTAGGACCAGTGTACTTTTTTCCAGGGTCTCTTATTTGTGTCATCATTCAGACATTGCAGGAAAGAGAAATAGGATGGTCAAACATCAGATCAGCAATTGTTAATTGTAGAAAATACACTGTCATCATACTTTCACATGATGCAAGAATCAACCATCGGGAAAATGTAAGCAAAGCTAGCAATTATTTGTTATCATGTGCTTAGGTGTGCACTGTTAAGTTAACTTCATATGCCTGTTGCAGTACTTCAATTGGTTGGCTATCAGTTGTTTTTGTTCTACCCTCATAGGAAGGTTCTGTTGTCTTGCTGCTGTGATTATTACTATTTTCTGGAGTTACAATCTGCCTCTTTTTTATATGCTGCGTTTTTGTCTATCTGTTCCACACTATTGCAGGTTCCAGGTCAAAAGAATCTTCAGTGAATTTCTAGCAATGAGCTTTATCTATTGGTGCCTCCTGAATTTGTGACTATTAATTCTGAATTTCATCAAGTGTTCGGTGAACATGTGTGTTGGGAATTAGTCTTTGGAACAGTTGAGTGAGGTAAGTTCTGTGCTCATTTCACTTTTCAAGTTTTTTTCCTTGTTCTTTGATATATTGAGTATCATTTAGCTTGTGCAAAAGTGCAATATCATTTCTTTCATCACATCAGGGGCACTATTGACAAAGTGGTTTTCTGTGGTATTGATATACTGATTCTGATTGTAGATGCCATTGGTTTCTGTTCAATCAAAATTCATCCTCAACTTGTTATGTAGTCCAGCCATTCAGTTTTTTCCTTTTCCTTTCTGTCAATGTATCTTTGGTTAGGTGTTTTGTGCAGGTCGGACTCTGCCTGGCATTCTGATATTGATATGGAACTCAAGAGTATTATATTGTAACTACGAAAATTTCAATTTATGGAGAGCAAGTCTTAGTGCCACTGTAAGCTTTTCCTCTGCGACCTAACTGATTTGTATCATGGAAAATATCTTCCGGCTTGTACGGGAGGAGGGCTATGTATTGATGATTTCGTGATTCTGTATTGGTGGATCTGTCATGAACTAGACTGTCCTTTCACTTTGGCAAGCTTTGTTGTAGGTAATATCTGAGTTAGTTCATGCATGATCCTCCATCATGCATGTGTTGCTCAGGATTTTTTTCTTGGCTTGGATTAGGATTGCTGATTTGACTGCTGTAGCCTGTTATTTTGACAATCTTTGCTGTGCAAGTAATTCCTATATAGGTTCATGGTTCATGCTTGAACTGTAAATCCAGTGGTTTGCCACAACCTTTTATGTCATGTGTTTACTGTTTTTTTCTTGCTTCAATTAGAGTTAATTTGGCTTACTTGGGTTCTTGGCTTCTGCAGCTAATGTTCACTACTAATTTGGTGGTTTTATTGGTGTCATATTCTTGCCATACAACCTAAGCAGTAATTCACCACTACTGTTTAACTGTGCTTTCATAATACAACCCTGGATTTTGCCAGATCTTGCTGGCTGAAACAGACTGATTGCCCCCATTCATGTCTAATCTAGCTTCTGGTAACTTGATTAATTTCTGTGGGTTTATTGTTATTTCGTTGTCATCCACTTGTTGTTGACTCATGGAAATTGGTGTGATTGGTCTTTTTCAGCTACCAGTGGAAAACTAAATAGCACCTTTCCCTGGTCAGCATCATGATAATATAATGAACAGTGCATTCTGATACTGCAGCTATTTGTCTTGATGAACTTTCGTTCTGCTGTCCTTGTTCTTTGTAGTTCAACATAGTTCTTTTACTCGAAAGATATTGGTGTATGGACTTGCTTGTTTTTGGCTGATTACTGCTTTCTGAACGTTAAATTTCCTGTGCATCTGATAACTTAGGTGTATGTCTGCTCCATATCGGTCAAGAACGAGTAATTCGAGGTTGGAGAACACCAAGTTAGCCATTGAAGCTTTCCAAATCAGTGACTGAGTCGATCTACCTCGCCCATTTCTGGTCATGGAAGCCTCTCGATCTGCTCATTCTCAAGCATAGGATGAACGAGGCTGAAGAATCTGAACTGCAGCGTCATACCCTCGTCTGCCTGTCTGCTGCTATTTCAAGGAATGATGAGGCTGCAGACAGACACAAACAGATACTCTCTGTCGAGTAGTGCCAGTCTCTTCTGTCCCTGTTTAGGCTGTACTGTGCATTCTAAGTAATGGTTTTGTCACCATCTTCATCACCATTGTGTCAGATTTATGCTTCATTCCCGTTGTCTGATCTTCTTCATCACAGCTTGAAGTTTGTAATGTGGTCCATTAAAAGGATGGGATCATGATCTTCTGCATCACGGCTTGAAGTTTGTAATGTGGTCCATCAGAAGGGTGGAATCATGTAACAATGGCACATATTTGTAGGTGACTCTCTGCTGTCTTATCTGTTTATAGGTTAGGTCAAGCGGTTGACAATTGCTTCCATATATAATATTTTAAAATACGAAAAAAGACAAAAAAAAATGTTTTTTTTAGTAAAAGAATGTTAAAATTCTAATAATAGTAAAATGTTTTTTCATTATAGAGTGAATTCAAGAAATTCAATAAACAGAAAATGTGAATCAAACTCCAAAGAGTTAAAGATGTTAGGCCATAAAAGAAGGTCAAAAAAAAAAAATGATACAATAATAATAACAACAAAATAGTAAATTCTAACTCTTTAGGATCGATTATATATATATATATATATATATATATATATATATATATATATATATATATATTAATGATAACAAAAAAAAAAAAGATGGTCTCATATATATGTTGGAAAATCAATGTCTTTAGATTTATATTTTATCTGAGTTGTAATTGTATATTTGTCTTTGCTTTTGATGGAACATCACTCACTCACTCACTAACATTGGAAATAGGATGAGAAAATGACATTTTTTAATTCTTCATTAAGAGGGCAATTTAAGAAATCAAGCATTAATGTGTTACGAGAAAAAAAAAATACATTGATGAAGTCAGAATAACTTTTGATATTTACATCCTCGTTAAGGAAACTTAACAACGAGCATTAATGTCTCTTACAACATCCAAATGTGATATATTCTTTTCTTGATGTAATAGGAAATTGAAATGTAGAAATGAACAAAAATAAAGAGAATATGTAGAAAACAATATAAGTAGTAGATCATAGTTTTCACTTTCGTTCATTTCAATATCTCTCTCTCTCTCTTCTTTCTCTAATGTAAGGGTTCACCATTTTGGCAGTTATAAGCATGAGCTTAATGGTTATTTATTGCATTAACAATATCGATTAGCTTAATAACATTATACCAGGATATTAAACTTGTAGTTAAGCCCACTAAAAGCTAATTAAGTTATAAGCAATATCAACTTATTTAGACATCTGATCTAAATGTTGGAAAGGTTAGGCAGCACACAAAAATAATTAATGGGCCAAACAGTTAGAATGAGGAATTTGATTTAATTGGTTTTTGTTTTCTAAAAGGAGTAATTTGATATTATATATGAATTTTTTGGACAATGTAAAAAAATATGAGTCTTTGTATGTGTGATTTTATTGGCATATATTCAAAACTAGATTGTTTTAGTTTAAGAAATATAAAAATATATATATAGCATCTAAAATATAAAAAAATAATGCAAAGTGAAATATACGAAGTTTTAATCGATACGATAAAACGAGAGATAATGTATGTAACCTTATATCTAAATATAGAGAGGCTAACTTTTATTGTTGTATCGAAGCACTGCCTTTCGTAGTACCTAAAATATAATAAAAAATATACAAATATTAGTAAAAGTTAAGAGTTTCAACTAATAGTTAATTAACGATGGCTAATTAATGTTAAGTACAATGACATAGTGAATTTAATTTTAAGTCCATAAATATGGAAATCAAATGTGACTCTTCCAACTAAGTTAAAATCAACTGTTAATAATTTCTTAAAAAATTGGAACTTAAAGTAGCAAACAAAAGTAAAAAATACATTTGGATTTAAATAAATAATTCCCTTATCATCTTACACTTGCCTTTAGTAGAATGAATTATGATTGAGAGAAGAACTTGAGTAGGATGTGTTCCTCTACTCCAAATCAGCTCAAGTTCTTTTGCTCAATGATTAGTGGGGAGTTGTAGTTGTCACATGTTCATCAATGCACCCCACATTTCAATCAATTTTGGAGATAAGGCTCAATCTAAATGTAGGTTTCAGCCACCTAACATTAAACTATTAAGGAGGTGGGGCAGCTCAGGTTTGCGGAGAAGATTGATGCACATCTGTGATCCTAGCAAGAAAAAAACGTAGAGCTTTCATGTCTTCTCATGACACATGTTGTTGTCATTTTGATCGATTGAGACACACCTAACAATATTTTCATCCCTAATCTTAGGGAATAAAAGAGTTTTATAACCTCTAAAATACATGCTCATGGTTGAGGTATGTAGCAAAAATGTTTTTTTTCTTGTCAAAGCACTATATATATATATATATATATATATATATATATATATAAGATCAAGCAATATACGAAGTAACTCTCAATATAGCAATAAAAACAATATGAGTAAGCGGATTGATCCATCAAGTTTCTATTGAAATAATATCTACATAAAAAAAAAATATTTATCATTTGTTGATTATTAGGGACATCCCAAAACCTCCGTAAAGAAACATAAAGTAATACATAAAGTAACTCTCAATATAGAAATAAAAATAATATGAGTAAGTAGATCGATCCATCATCTTTATATTCAAATAGTATCTATACAAGAAAAAAACACTTATCATTTGTTATTTATTAGAGACATCCCAAAATCATTCGAGTTGAAACGTAACTTTTCAACTAAATTTAGAATTAATAGATACCATTAAAAGGAAGGAAGATGATAACAAAAACAAATAGAGTTTTTATATATTTTCGTTCATATATATATATATATATATGTATATATAAACACTCAAAATTTGAATATTATTTTGCGAAACGACTTGACTCACGACAAGAAGGGAAATAAGAGAGCGAGAGAGAGAGAGAGAGAGAGAGGTT